TGAAGAAAAACAAATTTCAGACGAAGAAAAGAAGGTGATTATGGTAGCTAATCCTAAATTTTGGCTACTCCAACATAATTCATGGGCATGCATGGTGTAAATGTCTATAATTTGTTGCATGAGAAACTAATTTGTGTGCCTAGATAATTAATGATGATTTGTTTTGATTACCTTGAAAACATATTTTAAATGGCATTACCATTCACCAGACTTTCAATTATTTAAACTTTTACAAACATTGATTTCCCTTTAACATGTATACCTGTTTCATAGATCAACACATTTATATAAGGTCTAAATTTTGCTCATCCAAATACAAGCAGTTGGTCCAAAATGTGAAAGGCTCCCATTTGGTAATTGCAGGATCAAAGATTAGCTACAGCCTTCTATGTACACTAATAAAGCCCCCAAATTAACTATGACCTGCAATGTACTGATCCATGTAGTCAGCCATAACTAGCTTGGGTCTAAGGCTCACTTTGATTGAGTTGAGCTGTATTGTATAATGCCTTGCACATTTTGGTAACAACCAAGTCTTCTTTTAGTGTTCACAATTATCACAGCTTAGATAGCCAAACTTTGGTATGCGGCTATTGACACAAGACTATAACTGCTATGTTCCTCAGTTCAACAAAGTCTTGGTTTGAAATTCATTTTGATTATGCAATGCAGTCGTAGGACAACAAAAGCACACTCGTCAAGTACTTGTGGACAAGTATGACCAGCCTTAATAACCACCAAAACCAATATCGATGCAAGCACAAAAATATATTTCAAGCTGCTCACTAAGAAATAAAGATTTTTCCAATTGATTTACAAATGATAAATCTTTGTAATACAATAAAAACACTAAATGGAAAACCAACCTGCAGTTTTTCAGCAACTTTTTCGCAGTCCATTCTTGAAAGACAGTAAATAATTCCACATTCATCAAAATGATTTTCTTTGATGAACTTATCGATGTCTTCCAGGCACTTTTTTGTCTTGGGAATTACAGAATACCTGTCATGTTCACTATGAGTAAAGATATAAAATGCAGTGGCAGTTCATTTTAATTCAATACTAACCATAAGTTGGGGCGATTAAAGCTTTGCCGGAAAACAATGCAGTCCACAAGACCAAGAGCTTGCACAACATCTTCTTTTACACTGGCTGTTGCAGTAGCAGTCAAAGCTAACACTGGAGTTTTCTCAAATTTCTTCTTCAAGATACCAAGTTCCTGGATATTTTACAAAATAGATTATAGCATAAGACAGAAGCGCTGTGAGATGACATACAAATTAGAATATGATTTAAGGGCCACAACCTTGTAATCGGGTCTAAAATCATGCCCCCACTGACTCACACAGTGTGCTTCATCAATAACAATCCTGGCAAGCAATCCACGACCATTTAAGCTCTCCAAGTGCCGCAAAAGAACATCACTTCTGCAATCAGAACAGGTAGGTTTCAAAGTATTTAGAACTGTATAAAAATATCAGCTCTCCAGGATCACATTATAATACGAGTTCATAGATCACCCAATTTGACCAATCTGATTATCAATCTTTCCCAATGAATAGATGAAAGCATATTACCAATCTTACCTTTCTTTCATTGGCCATGCAATTGAAAATAATTTTTTTGCTCAAAGCAATAATTTATGTTATCTATCATCATCCAGGATGTTAAAACAGATAAGCCTATGCTTAGAGGGCAAGCAAAGCATAGTCAGGAGATGTGAGAGTTTAAAGATTGACTAATAAGGGAATCCCTCGAACAAGGAAAAAGGTAATGCACAGAGGCTTTCAAGATTAGTTTGAACACGAGTTGAGGGCAGGCTTTAAAAGACAGGAAATATGTCACAAAGATTATACTTAATTGCATGCAGAATTAACAAGTACACTGAATTCCAAAAAAAAATGAGCTGATAGCCTACTAAATTTTAAACCTTTCCCAACAAATTTTTTCCACCATTACAAAACATACTGCAACAAATTGGATTAGCGGTACACAAGGTCGACAGCACCATGCCACCATCCCATAAGTTCCACCAGAGAAACTATTTTGCATACCAGAAAACATGAAACCAATTCTTAAGATGCCCTAAGCTTCAAATTTATAATTAGAAGGCAATATCAAATGATAATTTTTGCTAGAATACTGGTAATGTAGATGACACTCACTTAGCAACTTTCTCTGGCGTGACATATAACAACCTGTATTTACAATAATCAGAACAAAGTTCCCTTAGGATCTCCTGTTGTTCAGTCCACTCCATGTTGGCACTCAGGTAAGCAGCAGGAATATTTGCCTATAGCGCAAACCAATAGGTAAGAAAAATGCATGCCACTAAATGAGCAGTTTGCAGTAACCAAAAGAAAATAAATGCTTGACTAAATTAGTAAGATAGCAAGAATACCTGCAAAAGGTGCATTATTTGATCTTGGATCAGAGACACGAGTGGAGAAATTACTAAGGTTATTCCAGGACAAACTAGGGCAGGAAGCTGCGTGAATCATTAAAAAAAAAAAAGAAGGGAGTCCCATTGTTAAAACCGTGAACCAACAAAAGTTTAATTTCCCAGTATCACCAAAAATTCAAAGATAAAGAAAATTTAGCCAAGCTGGTATCCTAGCATCAATTCAACTGCAAAATATTGTCAGAGATATGACTCTGGAAGTGAAGCAGATTGCCACAAATGGAAACAGCAAAATAATGGAAATTAAATGAAACTAAACCTGTGTCTAGCAGAATTGGACTTTATTAGAGCTATATGATTACCTGATATGTCAGACTTTTTCCACCTCCAGTTGGCATTAAAACAAAGACATCATACCCACTCATTGTAGCATTGATGACCTCTCTTTGATTGGGGCGAAAGGAGTGGTTTCCAAACACTTTTTTGTTATTGGCCTAGCAGCAAACCAAGCAAGCAGTAATATAGGATGTAATGAAACTAGTGATTGATAAAATTCTAAGAAATGGGTAAAACTCTAGAGCAAAAGAACACCTCCAGCTTTTTTGTCCATGGGAAATTTGTGCTGCTCCACTTTGGATCATTTGAGCCTTCAATATAATTAACTTCAACAAAGCTTGGAATGTAAGGTTCTCTCTCTAAAGGCACAGAAGAAACGCCAAAGCTATCAATGGAAGAGAATGAAACTGAGGGTGCATTCCACTTTTCATATCCATTCAGGTCATTTCGTAGATGAACCTGAGCATCAAATCTCATGGGATCTATTTTGCATGCAGCAGATTGAGGTGTTTCATACTGCAAATTTCGAACCAATGTGGATGCAGAAAAGTGTGACTTCTGTCTTTCCTCATCACGAAGATATTTTTCAAGTTGCTGAATTTGCTTATTGAGCTGTAACCTGTTTATGAAAACACAAATAGACATGGATAAGAGAGCAAATCTAACAACCATTCAAGCTTATCTCCCAAGAAAAGGAGCTGAGAGTGTTCTAAAAAATGCAAAAAGACAATGGAGCATATTTGTCATGTCTATCATACTATATTTCCTTCCATGTATTCCCAGAATTCCTCTGCCATATTCTTATTCTATTTTTCCTGTGAACTTTGGTTCACCTTTTGTGGCTCCATTGAACCCAAAAAACCCGTGCATCAAAAGGTAGTATGATATCATGGGAGAAGAAAAGGGAGAAGAAGCGCAACCTATCTTGGCGAAGCTTATCTATCTGCGCTGGACTCAGTTCAGCAGCATTGTCAAGCAGATCATTTGATACTGCAATCAGCATATCCTTCATTTCTTGTAAATGTTTGGCAGCTTCTGGGCAAAGTCCTAGCTGTAATGATTTAGGAGTCAGGCAAATCAAGATGAGACCAGAATAGAACAGCATAAATGAACAGTGCATATATAATGCCCAAACCTTGAATCCATGACTGCAGTTTGAACACAACTCAGGTGGCACAGAAATCTCCTCTGGCCTTATAAAACTACTTTGATCTGCAGTTGGAGTTATGGGTGGAAACTTAGAAATTGCTGGTTGCGGTGTGCAAGTAGAGTGGTAGTGCTCCATAACAATTTGGTCCACATCTATACTCTGCCACCAAGCTAACATGTGAGATAGATTAATGCAGAGAGATTAACACTCATCAGTATATAAAATATGACAAAAAAATTCAGATGGATAAAACTGTGGAACTCGTTCGCAGTCTACTTTACACAAAGCAAATAGAACCAAAGAATTAGCCTGATTTAGTATAAAAGCTCAATCATTTTCGACAAAAGAGATCAGCAAAACAATATTCAAAAATTCAATAACTTAGCTCTCTTCATTATGGTATCTGTGAGGTGAAATTATGAATTTCAAGTATATGCAATTGTTAATGCATCTTGATGAGAACTCATTGTCATGGTACTATGTCGAGTAGTCTTTGTTTACTCATTCTAAAACTGCGAGTTCTAGAATAGAGAATTTCAGCCTAACAACCTAACCTGATTTGCAGCTACTCTTCATGCTGGACAAGTTTCAATTTGGTTAGCAAAGCTAAGAAACATTGAGTATCAAGTACCTCGATCAGGTCATCATCATCAATGTAATCAGCTGAAGTTTCCACAAACTCTTTTGTTTGACAAGTTTGCACAGTGTGATTGACGAACGAACCAGCTAAAACATTAGACTGTTTGGTGTTGACCCCTGATGATGCTTTAATATCACTTGGCCACCCTTGATTGTTTCCAGATTGCACATGGCTAGCATTGTCTGCTGGGATAACATTGCCCATATGCTTTGCAGCTTCACTGTTCTTTCCACTCAAGTTTTTCTGTGTATACACACCTTCAGAATATTTGCTAATATTACATGAGCTTTGGAAGGTAGGCCTTTGCCCTACATTGCCCAACAATTCTTCACTAACATTCTTTACTGGACCAGTTTTACCAGGTCTAATGTAGTTCCTGGAAGAAATCTGAAGAGTGGACAGAGCATGCCAAGCCTGCAAAATGATTTCCACACAAAAACCTAATGCAAACTGAGATTTTCCATGAACTGCTCATACCACTTAAAATAGTAAATGTTTGCTAAATAAACTTTGAAGTAAAACATGAGGTTAGAGTTTGTGGTCACTCAATGCATGTAGCTTACAAGGCAGTTCCTCACTACTCAAAAAGCAGATATCATTTTTTCATGCCAGTTGACAGGACTGCATTGCCGAGGGCTCCCAAAACAGACCAGCTAGGGTTGGAGCAACCATGAGGAGATTTAAATGGGACAGTGCCAATTGTGAGAGCATGAACAGTAAACACAGACACCAGCCGAAAACAAAACACTCACAATACACATTTTTACCTTTTCAACTTGTGAGCTCTGCAATCTTTGAGGATTCTGAACATCACAGGAGCTTAACCTAAATGACACAAATCAAAAATTAGTTACACAAATGAATAGCTTAGCAGTTAGATAATAACAACAAATTCCCCAATACCCTTCCGCCAGTGACAGTTAATCAAAGGATACCAGCTTAAAGAATTATACAATAACAAGTTTTAAATTCTACAGCTCCGTGATAATATTCAAATTTAAAACAACAGAAACAAACGCCAAGGCACAGTGAAGAAGGGATTACGATTTTAAAACAAATAAAATCGGAGATCTACATGATCCATTAATCATTTGCGAATATGATATCAACATTATAAAGAAAAACGTGGAACAAACGTGTAAAACAATACTATACCTCATGGACATTGGTTTTTGCGATTCAAGCGAGTAAAGGAAATTCGCACTCAAAAATTTCCTTCTAGAGGAAATATTATGAAGTGCATTGGCATGTTGCAACCAATTCACTTTAGGTTGCTTCTCATCTTCACATTTCCGACCTTCGCTTAAATTATTTACGCTGCCACGTACAAATATGTAAAAAGGTAAAAATAAAAATAAATAAATAACATCAAAGAAATGTGAATCGAGATAAATTATATTAAAAAAAAAGCGTAGAAAACAACAAATTACTTTTTCTTCACATGTTTTTCGATCGCCATCACTCCAATCTATCTGGTGATTGTATCTCAGCTCTGAAACCCTAGCATTATAGAGAATAAAAAAATTATTTCGAAATGGAAAATTGTCAAGTGCAAAAAATTTGATTTTCTTTTTTTTTGTACTTTGAATTTCGAACAATTTGTTTTCTCTTTCGAAATAAATTACACAGCGGTTAGTATAGCATCATTTGTTTTGTGGTTCGAAATGCTAAAACACGGCGTTTCTCGAAAATGAAAAACTTAACAGCAGTAGCATGGGCGAGTGTATGAGAAAAAAGATCTTACTTTGGATCATTGAAAGAGAGAAGCGAGAGGGAAGGAATGATCGGGGAGTATTGGGTAATCGGAGGTGACGGTGAGTTCCAGAGTGAACGAGAGAGAGTGAAAGCGAGCGCGCTCTTCAAAAGTACAGGGCGCTGCGGCAGGGCGGGATGTTTTCGTTTTTTATTTTTGTTTTTCCCCCTGTTTTTTTCCTATGAATGTGGGTATCCATCAAAAATTAACAATAGTTTAAAAAGGCTGGGAAATTGCTGTAGCTTTACCACGTTTTTTATTTTTATTATATTACTTTTTTTTACATGTTTTTTATTTTTCTTTTCTCATGATTAACTTTAAAAAAAAATATTTAAAAAATTTATTTACTAATTTTTTTAATATATAAATTGGTTAAGAATGTAGCTCTATTATTTAAAAAAAATTATAAATTATTATATTATTTTCCTGTATAAAGATTCATTGAGATATTTTTAAACTAATTTTTTTTAATATATAAATTGGTTAAGAATATAGCTCTATTATTTAAAAAAAAATTATAAATTACTATATTATTTTCTTGTATAAAGATTCATTGAGATATTTTTAAATTTTCAACTTATTTGAAAAGGTGGATTGGGATTGTCAAAGATTTTTTTTTATTTTTTTAAGCTGATTTATTAATATTTTGAGTTAAAAGATTGATTTATTGAAATAGTATTAATATGTATCAAGTGTTTTTAAGTGAAAAACGATTTGTTGGATAAAAAAATCCTAAGATCAAATTTCCAACTACTTATCTAATATTTTATTATTATTTTTTAAAAAAATATTATTTTTTTTATATTGAGCTGATTAAGAATTTAATTTTATAATTTTTTTATAAAAATATATTGTATAGTATCTCTCCTGCGTAGTTTTTGTTTTGGTACAATATTTCTCTACATGTTTCTTTTTAAAATTATCTTTGTTAAATTTATTTTTTTTAATATTGAGATTATTAAGAATTTAGTTTTAGTTTTTCCCACATGTTTTTTCTTCTTTTTTTTTTGGCTTTTGCTTTTTTTCCCAGAATTTTCTTTTTTTATGTTTTTTTCAAAATTATTTTTGTCAATTTTATTTTTATAATATTGATTTTGTTGAGTATTTAGCTTTGTAGTTTTTTTAAAAAAGCATTATTGATTACTACAGTATTTCTCCATATGATTTTTTTCTTTTTTTTTTTTCCAGAATTATCTTTATCAATTTTAGTTTTTTTCATATTGAGCTAGTTGATAATTTAGATTTGTAATTTTTTCTTAAAAAGCATTATGGATTGGTACATTGTTTCCTCACATAATTTTTTATTACTATGGTGTTTCCCCACGTATTTTTTTATTAATTTTTTTAAATTATCTTTGTTAAATTTATTTTTTTCATACTGAGTTAGCTAGAAATTTAGTTTTATAGTTTTTTAAAAAAAATATTGTTAATTGCTAAAGTATTTCCCAACATGATTTTTTTATTATCATTTTAAAAAATATATAATTTTTTATTATTCATGACAAAGAATAAACATACCATAAGCTAACAGTAACGCACGGTCACAATAACTATCACGATAACTAGTTATAATTCTTAGGAGTGCAGTTGTGTCTAGTCGTTATATATAAAGGATATATATATATATATATATATATATATATATATGTATATATATAAGAAAG